AAGCGACAATTGAAAAGTTTTTTTTTTCTTTCTATTGAAATATCTGAAATTATGTTCCTAATTAGTGCTCTTCTCGTGTTGAAATCATTAATTTTCAACATTGCAAAATTATAAAAGAGAGGAAAAGAGAGAGTAAAAGTGAACGATTAGTTAGCTAATTAGCAGTTTTTATTTCATCTTTAATCACAATTTCTTTACATTTTATTTTATTACTCTTCATAAATTTGAAATATAATAGTTGAAATTATTAATTTGAATCAGTGAATTCTTTTTTTTTTCTTTTTGCCTTCATTTCGATTCCAAAATTATTTAAAATTTATCCGAAAATAAGATGGCTATTAACTATTATTTGAGCAGTAAGAAGATATCAACAAAGACATTTTAATTGTTAAATAATTTTGTAAAAGTTTAATTTTTGATTAAAATATTGCAATGAAATTATAATCAGTCAAACGAAAAATAAAAGGAAATAAAAGAAATCAAAAGTGAAAAAATAAAGGAAACATTTTTCATTTACTTTTTTGTTATTATTATTGTCATTATTATTATTATTTATATTATTATTATTATTATTATTATGAAGATGAAAATTGAACCAATGAGAATTAGCAATTAAATTTTGTGATGAGTTTGAAGTGTTCATACTTGATGTAAACTGATGATTAATTAACACTTTTATTGTTCCCTGGGGAATTTACTATTTTACAATTTCATTTCATGTCAAATTCTAATTTTAAGCCCATAAAATTATATATTAGCTACAAGTAAAGTGTGAGAGAAATAATTCAATTTGGAAATATTAATAAAATCCAATTTTACTAATTTAGTTGATGAGCGAATATAATTAAGTGTTGACAAATTTGAGAGATATAATGGATTTGGCATCAAGAAAACTAAGAATACTACAAATTGTATATGATAAACTTATTGTGGACGAAATTCTTATTTGCCTTTCTTTTATTTTGCTGAACGAATTATTGATTTAGCAAAATAATTAATAAGCATTTTAGCCTCATAATTTGTTCCTCAAATTGTCAAACAACAAAATTAATCAATAAAACTTTTTTTACTTTTTAAGGGTTCTACCACTTTTCCTTCAATTTAATAAAATTTTTTTTTGAAATAAAAGGTAATTTAACAAATGCATCTATTAAAGTTGATACCATTCTTTTCTTTTGTTCTAAATAATAGCAAAAGTTGACAGAAGTTGACACTATTATTTGTTCCTTTTTCTTTTCATCTTTTTTTTGTCTCTTTCCTACTTATTAACTTATCACAACATTACTTATAACAGTATTTATTAATCATATCGTAAGTAAAGTACCTGTCCGATTACCTGCCCAATTAAAGGAATAATTTTTTATTACCTACTTGTTGTATTTATCTTTCGGGGAAAACAAAAGGAACATTTTTCGGATGCGTTTTGCCGAACATTACTTTAAAAAAAAGGAAAAGAAAATAAAAATTCAATTATTATATTTGTTATTTTCTATAATATTTTCTTTCCTTCAGAACATTTTAAAATAATACAAATTTTATTTCAGGAAATCAATTGCCATTTTATCACCTTACTTTCAGCCACATAGCATATAATTCATATTGCTATTACGGATACCTCTATTCATCTTATAGTAGAACAGGTAAAAAATAAAGAAAGACCTGAATTAGTTGCAGGATTGTTTATTTTATATTTGATTTTACAAAATTTCCTTTCTTATAATTTGAAATTTTCTTCACTGACAGTTTAAATCAATCAATTTTGCAGTGAGAAGCACAAAGTTACAATAAAATTTTTATTTCTAAAAAAATTTTTTTCAGGAAAATATTCTCGAAGAAATGAATGTCATATGGATGGAATTTTCTATTTTTGCTTCCTTTTTACCAGTAATTCTCTCTTACCTTTATTATAGATCATTGACATTTCTTAATTAAAGAAATTTGTATTGCAAATTGATCATTTAAAGAATATATCAATCATAAAAGTTATCAAAAAATTAATATCCAATTAATATCCTTGCAAAATATTATATAAATTAAAGTATTAAGGTATCCAGGTAATTAAAGTATTGTTGAAATATTGTTTCTTCTTATTTTATTAGCATTGTTGTAATTGTTGCAGAAAAGATTGCATATCGAAAATATACAATTAAATGAATTAGTCGTTCAAAAAACAAATGAATTAAGTAATTAAAAATATTTCCCAGAAGAATTCAATTTTAATTTTAAATAAAGTCGTTAAAGTTGCTGCTAATTTAAATATGTCAATAAGTAATTAAAATAGCAATTTCAGTTAGAACTTAAACTAATTAAGATTTTTTCACATTTTTTTTTTTACTTATTTTGTTACAATTTATAATTATCATAGTAAATAAGCTAATTAGCAACAATATCATAATATCACTGAAAGCATATAAAGTTAATCACAGTTTGACAGAAGAAGTCCTTACCGCAAATAATCTTTTATAGGTAGGATTGTTGGCCTAAAAACATTTATAATGGAAGGAAAAAAAATGAAGTAAGCAGTATAATGGGAAAAGTGATGAACGTTTTACTTTTGCCACTTAAAAATTAAATTTAATGGAAAACGAATCATTAAAAAAATGATTAATGTGTGCGTAATTTTTTTTTTAATTAATTAATGAAAGCAAAGAATAAAATGAAGAAATCAGAGAAGAAAATTTATTTTGAAAAAGCTTATCTTCCAAATTAGATTTAAATTAGCTCAAATATTCAAATGTTGATATGTTTCATCACAGTAACTTCTTTTTTGATACCATTAGTAAATAACCAATGATACTGTTTTAACCTGAAAAAAATACAGATGCAAAATTGATAATTTAGAAAAAAAAAATCATAGATAAATAACAATTTAAAACAAATTTTCATATAAATCTCAAATAGCATTACCACTGAAACTGTAATACTATATGAAAAGAATTATTTTATATTGGTTGTTCGTTAAATCTAATATATAAATTTGTTTCACATTTTTTAAAATCAGATCCTATCAATAAGTGATCGTATCAAAGCCTAACAATCAATATAAATCGTTTAATACTGACAAAAATGTGATGCTACCTATTTGTACTGCTATTATGACTCTGAAATAATAAACACAAGTAATGATAAAATTAAAAAATTAATTGCTTTTTTCATTTAAACTTAAAAAATTAGCTTTTAACACGTTTAAATGCGTTTTTCACGTCTTCCACTACATTAGTTTTATACGTATGTCTTTAAAGATTCAGACTTTTCTTGAAATCTGAGCATTTTTAAGCTACTACAATGCACATTAGCAAGTATAACAGAAGCCTGATTAATTAAATGTAGTCCTATGTGTAGTACAAAAGTTTATATACGATCAAATCTTTGTCAAAATTGCTAAAAGTTGAAAGCAACTATAAAAGGAAGCTGTGCAAAATTGTCTAAAATAAAATCGAAAGATAACAAAAAAGAATAATCATTGTCAACTTTTTTGATACAAAAAAGAATAATCATTGTCAACTTTTTTGATTGATAGAGACACTAATTATGACATATTAAAAGTCATATCAAATTAGATTTAGTATATCAGAAAGAAAGAATTCTCATAAATTCGAATTAATTGATTTATATCTTTTAATCTTTCTTAAAAAAAAATTTTGAATTAGAAAAATGAATTAGAAAACATTTCAATACTTACTTTGATATGATTTTCATTCTACAGCAAGTAATGTCTAAGCTCCGAGAAAAACTTATTGGAAATTATTTAATTTGATAAAGTTAAAGAAAGTCCATGGATTACTGAAGAGTACTTCACGGACAGTTCATAAACGAATTGAATAATTATTGATATCTTATCCTCAATAATTTCAGACAATTATCGCGGAAATTTTGATCAAAATAAAAAGAAACAAAATTAATATATTATTAACTAACGATGAAAAGTGATAATACATAGCTATCACAAATTGATATCACAACAAATTATAATTACTAATTCCGTGTTCACAGCAATTAAAGACAATAAATAGTTAATTAATTAACTTAAATTAATACATTCTTTTACATTCAACATAATATCTCAAAACAAAATGATCAAATGCTATTTCAGCATATAATTGAATTAAAAAGAAGGAAATGAAAAATTAATGATCCTTAATATAACCTATAATTTAATAGAAAAAAAAAAGATACACAAGAAATATGGACGTAGTAAGCAATAATTTTATTACAGTATTGGATTACCTAATTGCTTCTATAATGGTATAAATATGTGATTAATGAAAGATGAAAAAATGAAATTTAGAAATTAGAATAAGGAAAGAAAAATTGCTGAAAAGTGAAAGAATTATACATAATTTCCAAGCAGTATATATCATACCTGGAAGTAATCAATTGCAATTATTGTTTATTTATTTATCCAAAATGAGAAATAAAAGGAAAATTATTTTGGTTTGTACAAAAAGATTGTGGCAATAAGCATAGTATGATGATGTCAAGTTGGGATGTGCCGGAGAACAAGAAAAGTGATCAAATGATATTCCGCACGAAAAGCAAAAGTGTACACTCGTTTTTGTGCACATTCAGTAAGATAGTGCAAGAGAGTATTACTTTTTTTTATGATACTAAAAATGGAGGTAACCATTTATTTTGATTTTTTGGTCATCCTGAAGTGTATGTCATTATTTTATCTGTTTTTAGTATTATTAGTTTTTTTATTATTAGTTTTTTTTTAAGTTTATTTTTAAGTAAGTGATAAGGATAGTTTATTTGGTCAAATTAGTATAACTTTTGCTTCTATTTGAATTGCTGTTCTTGGTATATCTGTTTGAGAAATGTATTCATGAATGATTTTTTTCATTTTTTCTTTTTCTTTTTTTTTTTTTCTAAAAAAATTGTAAGGTACTGAGTAGTATTGTGATTAATTTTTGATAAAATTGTGACGTATAATTTGGCGTTATTTTATTATCAATTTGCATCTGATTAATATTTGGTTTATTTTATAATTTTTTTTTAGAATGAGCTTGTCCGCGGCCCAAATTCCAGAGCATCCGGATATTTCCGATGTTCTGGAGTACTTGCAGCGAGAACCTGTAATGCTTCGCGCATTACAGGAATACATCCGCAAAAAGGAGCAGGTAATTCTCTTTTCTTTTTTTGTCATAAATAAAAATTCTAGAGAGAGGGAGAGAGGGATGGAGAGAATTATACTCCTAATTTAAAATAAGACTGTAAAAATGTGGTCTTTTCAGGCTGAGAACTTGCTCCTGACCCGCTTGGAGGAGGCGGAGAGGAGGCCGGAGGTCGAAGGGCGAAGTGGAGAGGAACCGGTACCTCAGGTACCGGCATTTAACATTGAAGAAGCAGAGTGGGCCCCTCTGCCCGAAACTGATGATGAGGCCGAGAACTGGCCATCGGGTGCAGAGTGGGCTCCTCTGCCTGATGATGACAGCGATGAACCTGAGGTACCGGCAGCACCAATGGAGACAGATGCGGATGCAGAACCGGTTGAAGTGTTTCGCGAACTCGTTCTGTAAGTTCTGATTTCTGAAATGAATGTAGTAACTATGTAGTAAAAAAGTAATAACTAGGACAATTATTAATTTTACCTGCTAAATAATTGAAACTAAATTTGAAACTATTTCAGAAGAATGAGAACGATTAAAATTCCGGTTCTCGCGACGCATGGGTCGCTGGCTGCGGCAGTACCGGAAGAATTTCACCCCGCTGATTTAGGGGACCTTCCGGAGCAGCTCCGACGGGAGTTGCTAGCGCCGCAGGCAGAACCATACACGGTGGTTCAGGCAAATGAGGACAGCAACATCGGTAATTTATAATTTTAATAATGTTAGAAGATGATTTTATCTCCGTAATGTTTTAGTGAATATAATCATACTTTAATCATTTACTGATAAAATGATGATATTTATGAGTATAATATCACAAATGTTTTTCTTTCTAATGCGTCAAAACGGTCACAAAATTTCCATATCGATGCAATAAAAGAACTTTATGCGACATTATCTTCTAAGCATTTCTATTTTCAGTGTGTGGTATCTGCGGCAGGCAGTTTGGAACGCTCAAAGGGTGGCGTATTCACGCCTCACGGATGCATAAGCAGGACGGTAAGTATTTCTAAGCGGAACTCTCAATTAGTTTTTGAAAATATTTGCTTGTTTGATCCATGTGAAAGTTAACAGACTAATTAATTATGAATATTTCAGGATTTTGCGCTCGCTGTGGCCATTACGTCCTGCTGCCACCCGAATTCACGGCCGCACAAAGAACAGCGGCACTGGAAATTCACGCTCTCGATTGGTGCCCGAGAGCGTGTGCGGCCGTGATCAGCGAAAGGCAGGTCAAGCGTCGTAGACTTGACCTGGTGGGGAGAGAAGAGGACGCCCACCACCTCTTCATTCCAGGTAAGAAATCACTAATATTTAAGAAGTGAGATTTAAAAGAAGGAAATAAAAATTCGAAAGTACAGAAAACAAAACATTCAAGAAGTGGATTTCATAGTTTTTCTAATCAGCGAAATTTTTTTCAGGCCAATGATACTAACGGGCCTCCCCCACGCAGCCGAACTGTTACTGCCTGTCCCAGCTCTCCATTCCTCTGCCCAATGAAGTACAGCCAAGCGGGTTAGTTTTGCTCAAAAAAAAAAAAAAAAAAAAACAAAAAAGTAAAAAGATAAGAAAATTAAAAAATAACAAAAAAGCAAAAAACAAAAAAATAAAAATTGGAAAAAGAAAAAAATAAAAATTTAAAAATAAAAATAGAAAAAAACAAAAAAATAAAAAATTTAAAAATAAAAAATAGAAAAAAACAAAAAAATTAAAAATTAAAAAAAAAACAAAAAATTAAAAAAAAACGTCCAAAAAAATTTTGTTTTTCGATTTTTTTTTGTTTTATTTAGATGTAAAAACAATTGAATTCAAAGTTTTATAAAAGGTAGTGAAGCGATATGACAATTTTTCAGTCATTTTATGCTAGCAAATGTATCACTAATTATTTGTGGTGGCATTCGAGGATCAAAAAGTCTTTGAAAGGATTTTTTTGCGAAGAAAAATTAATAAAATAATCAAATTCCTTTGAATTCAGTTGTTTTTTATTAGTTTTTTTGTTTTTCGTTTGTTTTTTAATTTGCCCATTTTGGGCGTCTAACTTTTTAAAAAGTTTATTGTTGTATTTTATTAGTTTCTAATTCAAGTAATATTATGAAAATTTTGATGTTTCGATGGTTTCTTAGTTGTAACTAATGATTTTCTATTTTTTTTTTTATTTCTAATTTAATTATTATTAATGTAAGTATTTTGTTTATTTTTCATTTAATGTTATTTGTTTATTTGTTTTTAAGCCTCTTTTAATACATATGTTCTTCATTTTTATTTTAGTGTTTTCTAATTCTTTAATTTTTCATTTCTTAAAAATTTATTTTTTTGTGTATTGGATACCAACTTATAATATAATTAATTTTGTATTTCTTAATTTGTTAATATCATGTTTGTTTATTTTGTTATATTAGAATATGTTAATGTCGTATTAGGTATTTTAGACAGATATAGCATTTTATATTTAAAAGTGTTTTTTTTTTTTTTTTTGGAAATAACTAATTTTTCAGGCTTTTCCTTGCGGTTAAGCCTGTTTTTGATTCGTTGAATTATCGAATTGAAAAATATGATATCAGTGATTAATTTGTTTTAGTTTTTATTTATTTATTTATTTTTTTTTTTTTTGAGCTGAATTGTAAGTTGGTATCCAATAAGTTTTTTTTGGGATGAGAGAAGAAAAGGTCGAGAGCAGGTAGAGTTATACCTGCTCTCGGCATAACTTAGGAGTTATTATGTGATGAAAAATTTTGAAAATATGAGAACTTTTCTAAATTTTTTGAAATTTTTGGTATATTTCTAAATTTTTACTTTTTTGTAAATTTTTTGCTAAAAATTAGGATTTTTATAATATTTCCATGTCCCTAATTTTTCATTCCCCCTTCAATGTTTTTTAATTTTTGAATTATCTCGAAAACTATTTGAATTAGCTAAATAATCAAATTTGGGAGGTTTAGTTTCACATTATTTTAATGCTTGAATTATTTGCTTCTGGTTTTGGTTTTTTATTTTTTCAATTTTCAATTTTTTTTAGTTTTTTCATTTTTTCAATTTTCAACTTTTTTTAGCTTTTTGTTTTCTATCCTGAAATTTTTTTTAGTTTTTTTCAATTTTTAAATTTTTTTATTTTTTTGCTTTCTATCTTGAAATTTTTTTTTTGAATTTCCTGATTTTTAAATGTTTAATTAAGAATTTGATTTTATTCCCAAAAAGCATATTGCATCTGTTTTTTAGTTTTAACCTAGCACTATCATTTTTTTTTTATAAATCTTAGTATAGAATATTACGTTTTATACTTCTTTTTGTGTGCTGTTTTTTTGTATGCTTTTTTATTAATTTCATTTTTGCATGAATTTTAGTTATTTTACTAACTGAGTGCCTTTTGTCTTCTTTGATCATTTTTTCTTTTTCTGCTACTTATTGCAGTTTTGTTAACATTAATGCATGCCTTTTTTGTTTTTGTACTAAATGCATGCTTTTTATTTTTTATTTGATTCGCATGCCGGTTACTTTCACTTACTGCATGCTTTTTATTTTTTATTTGATTCGCATGCCGGTTACTTTCACTTACTGCATGCTTTTTATTTTTTATTTGATTCTCATTCCGGTTACTTTCACTTGCTGCATGCTTTTTATTTTTTATTTGATTCTCATGCCGGTTACTTTCACTTACTGCATGCTTTTTATTTTTTATTTGATTCTCATTCCGGTTACTTTCACTTACTGCATGCTTTTTATTTTTTATTTGATTCTCATTCCGGTTACTTTCACTTACTGCATGCTTTTTATTCATTTTGTCCACTCATTATTGTTACTTTTATTTAGTGCATTCATTTTGTTAATTTAATAAGGATGTTTTTTTTTTTTTTTTGTTGTACTCATTGCATGCTTTTTTATGCATGAATTTTGGTTACTTGTACTTTTTTTTTTTACTTAGCTCACCCATTTTTGACTAATTCTAGTGCATTCTTTTTGTTAATAATAATGCATGCGTTTTTGTTTTGCACTAATTGCATGCTTTTTGTCCAGTTTTTCAGCTTTCATTTCTATTTACTTTACTTATTGCATGCTTTTCTATTTACTTTGCTTACTGCACGCTTTTTTGCTAACTTTACTTACTCCAATTAACAATCTACAGTTATTATTGATGCACGCCTTTTCTCAATGTTTGCCTATTGCATGCTTTTTTTTATTCACTTTGATCACTTATTTTTGGCTACTTAGTGCATCTTTTTTTTTGCTAATTTTGTACGAACTGCATGTTTTTGCGTTTTTTTTTCTGCATGCACTACCAGCTACTTTTCTTCATTGATGCATGTCTTTCTTAAGTGCTTTTTTCGCATGCTTTTTTTGTTTATCATTTTTTTTTACTCACTGCATGCTTTTTGTTCACTTTGATTACTCTTTTGGCTACTTAGTCTATGTTTGTTAATATTAATGCATACTTTTTATGTTTCGCACTGATTGCATGCTTTTTACCCAGTTTTTTTTTAACTTGCATTTGTATTTACTTTTACTTACTGCATGCTTTGGGTTAGCTTTATTGACTTAACAGCAACAGCAACATCTTGCTAATTTTTTTTTTGCATGCATTTCTAGCCACTTTTACTCAGTGATGCATTTTTGTTAACTTTACTTATTCCAATAATAACAATTTATAGTTATTATTGATGCTTGCCTTTCCTCAATGTTTGTTAATTGCATGCTTTTTCGTTTATTTTTTCGTTCTTTTTTTTGCTTGCATTTATAGCTACTTTTATTTACTGCATGCTTTTTTACCCACTCAACAGCAATAATCTGTAGTTAGTATTGATGTATGTCTTTCTTAAGTGTCTTGTTTTTGTCTAAAGTCTTTGCATGCTTTTTTGTTTGTTATTTTTAGCTTGCATTTCTAGTTAATTTTACTTACTGCATGCTTCTTGATCACTTTGATCACTTTTTTTGACTACTTAGTCCATTTTTGTTAATATTAATGTATAATTTTTTTTGTTTCACACTAACTGCATGCTTTTGGTTAACTTTATTTTGTGTAATTGGTGCATGTGTTTTCTTAACTTTACTAATTGCATGCTTTTTTTTTCCAAACTTAACTTATATATTTGCACTGAGTGCAATTTTTGATGTACAATTTTTTCTTGCTTTTGCTTGTGCTGCTTTACTGTTTTCCAATATCTTTTATTTACTGCATGCTTTTTTTGCTTTACTTGTTGCATTTAATTTATTTTCTATCTGCTTTTCTTATTGACTTTACTTACTTTATTCGTGCTTTTTAAACAGTGCAGTAGTGATTTGTATTTAGTTTACAATATGCTTCTCATACTCTTTCATATTAGATTTTTTTAGCTGCTCTTATTTATTGAAAAGTTCTTTTTTATACTAATTTGTTAATTTATTTTCTGCATGCAATTTAATTTTTTTATTTTTTAATTTATTCTTTACTTCTTTAAGTCAAATTTTTAAAAGAATTCCATCAAATACTCAGAAGGTATGTTTTTTTTTTTTTTTTTTTTTTGACATTTTCAACTCTATCAAAAAATTCTGTCCATGTATTTTTAATAATTTAAAATCTTTAAATTTAAGGTTATTTTGGTTACAAATGTGTATGTATATAAAATATCTGTTACATAGTCGATTCTGAATTCGTTGAACAGAATTCTTTTGATGTTTCACCACCATTTCAAAGATTTATAGGCATTCAGATAAAAAATTAGCAGCAGGGGTACATATATATATATCCATATAATTTTAGCAATATTTCAGACGATGAGACTATGCCGGATTCTCATCATTTATATGACCGATTCCGTATTCTATCTATCTGATACTTCGTTTATTTGTCTCTTGTTGTTCAGTTGCAGAGAAATTATCTTACTAACTGATCTCCAGCAGGTATTCAAGATATTTTTTATTCGATGTTGTTTTTGAGACTTGTTAAATTCTTAAAATAAGAAATCAACATCCAAAATTAAAGAAACCACTAGGCTAGTAAATCGGATATCTTGGAAAGTATTATACGGGCTCACAGTCCGTTTAGAATAAGCATGAACACACTATGAAAATATATCAATGTTTTTAAATTCAAATCCAAAGAATGAATTTGAGCAATATTACTGATTTTGAAAATTTTATTTAGATCATTTTGACTGTCCACAAGAAATACTAATAATTGCACTATAAGACTTGTATATTCCTAGTTTTGGACGATTGGGAACATTGGTAGTTGAATTTTTAATCTGTTAATGAATAAAATCACATCTGAAATTATGTAATTTATTTCAAAGTTAAGTGAAAGAATAATATTTTCCAGGTCATTCCGGACTGTTTGAATCAAAAAATAAAAAAACAAGAAGTTCTCTCTTTTCCACTTTTTATTGCTCTTTGTCTGTTTTAGTTTCATCTCGTCATAATTAATTTTTGTAAAATATTCTATTAACAATTATAAATAATTCATTTCGAAAAAAAAATAGATATGAATGTTCTAAAGAAATCATCACTACTGGTTTGTATTTAAAAATATTTTTAAGATGACAAAGAATTT